TGATATTTTTTTACAAATTCTGTAAAATATTTGAATTGGCCATCTCTTCCGTATGGCCATCTCCCCCGGACTTGTCCTATACAGTGCCGCTCAAAAGGATTTGCCCACCCTACGCCATGCAAGGGCATTACAAAAAGTTTTGTATCTTTAATAATAATAAAGATAAAATCTTAATCAAATATTTATTTTAAACCTTAAGTATTTGACTTAAAATAATGCCAAAAAAACTTCAACAAAAAATTTTTTTTAATGTTTAATTGCTGAAAATTCAAAAAAAAATTTTTCACTTTTTTTGAAAAATTTTAAATTGATACAATTTTTGAAAAAATCATCACATTTAAAATCTACAAATGTCATTGGAAAGCATTTTTTGTCACCTTTCAAACGATTTTTTGAAAATTGCTCTACGATAATTTTTAAGAAAGATATAATCATTTCTTTATAAAAATAGCCTATTTTTTCAATTGTTGGTAACTTGAGAACAATTGATTTTTGAAAAAAATTGTTAAGGAAAAAAATGTGCCTCTTTGTGCGTAGAATTAGAAAAAAAATATTTAAACAATAAAAAAAAAATTTTTTTTTTACATTTTTTCCTTCTGTATATATTTTTAAGACGAATAACATATATACTTATCAATACATATCGATAAAATCTAACACAACATAAATTATCACTGTTAAAAAGAACAGTTAATAATTACATTTTTTAAATATTTAAATAACATTAATTAATTTCGTGATTTTTATATTGAATGTTATTTTTAACAACACTGATTTAATTATTTATTTATTTATTTTTTTTTTTTTTATTCACGGGGGAGAAGAGGAAATGCATTAACGCATGCCCAGGAAGATCCCACTTACCTGGGGTATGTCGGACTCGCACAAAATGCAAGGAAAAAAAAGAAACCTCACATACCTGCTTTTACGGCAGTCACAATACCGACTAAAACCTCTTCTTGATTCCCCTGGGTTTCGAACCTTCTATCCACCTACGGAACTACCTTTCGGCTTCAGACTTCGCAGATGGATGGTCCCATTTAGTCGCTGGCGCGACTCTTCCGTGCCGCTCTTCTTCTGGCCATTATTTTCTCCTTGTTCTTGACAGGGTCTTCTTAGCTTCCTCTAAGGCAGTCCTGAAGACCTTGCACCGACCTGATCCAGCGACGTGTTGGATGTTCTCCTTTTCGCCGAACTTCGCCTTGCACAAGAAGCAGCATGGGCTCTTCTTACAATCTGCTACCTTATGGCCGGCTTCTCCGCACTTGAAGCACGCAGCCGACCTATCTACTGCTTGGCAGTCTCGACCTATATCGCCATAGCCAAGGCACCTGTGGCACCTTGTGACCATAACTCTTCTACTTATTCTGCAGGACACAAAACCGATTTTAATCTGCCCTATCTTCTCCAGCCTGTTAGCGTCCTCTTGGGAGGTGACCACGACAGCGAGCTTAATACCTCGCTTATTTGGTCCGAGGACCGTCACCTTCCTGCTTCCTGCTGGCACCGTAGATAGTTTGTCCAGGGCTTCTTTGACATCCTCCTGTTCGGTAAGGGTGTCCATGTCGCGGATCTCCAGCACAGTCTGCCGATCCGCCATCTGAACCTTACCTAGATCGCCGATCACCTTTGTCACCTCCTCGGTGAACAACTTCCTGTTCGAAGACCCCCCAATTTTAATAAGGAGGTCTCCCTTTTTAGTGGGTACAGCTCCCACAACCCTTGTCTGGCTGGCCTCCAAGTCAGCCTCTTTTCGAACCTTCGCCAGCACCTCGGCAAAGGTAGTTCCTTCAGCCACTTTGACGACCATTGTGGCTCTTCCCTTCTTATCTGAAGTTGTCTTTGGTGCCGTTTTCATCTCCTTGCCTTTGGATCTTTTAGGAGGTCCCTCCTCCCTTTTCCTTTTTGGATCCTTCGCAAGCTCAGGATCACTTCTCTTTCGCTTCTGAGCATCCAAGACGACGTTTCTCAACACGATCGCGTTACAGCGATCTCGTCTAACTCTACGATCTTGTCTGGCCTCTTCCGACCAAGTCAATCCCTGGTAGAGACTCTCATCCTTTTTCGTAGCTGCTACGTGCTTCTCCTTGATCTCCTGTATGAGCGATTTCATGCTTTTGAGTCCGTCCTTGATTGTCATATTGACATTCTTCTGGACCTCGCAGGACTTCATCATTTTGTTAACCTCTTCCTCCATTGCTAGAATGCATGTTGCCTCTTCCTCCCGCAGCTTAATGCATTCATCCCGATCTTGGTTGCAGCTTGCAATGTCCTTTGCCGAGGCATTACTGAAGACAGAAATGCAGCTGGCTTGACTCGTCACGCTGCTCGTACTCCCTCGTCTCTCCGACCTGTCCACGATGATCTGTGGCACTACCAACGCGTTGTTGCCCTCCTGCATCCTTGGGCCACTGGCCACCGCCCTCACGCTCGAAAGCGCTTGACGATCGGAACCAGTGAGGGATTTAGCCGTAGCATTACCCCGCAGGTACTCTTCCTCGTTTTTACAATCGCTCATGATGGATGTTTCTTGTTTGCTGGTTTTGGTCCACGTCGAGTATTTGATTTCCTCGATACCACCTATTTCTAGGAAGCTAACCTATCCGCCACCTGGCACGCGTCCGATAGAGGACCAGCAACCCCGCGCAAAAGAACAGGTTCTAATGCGCCCCGGGTAGAACAAAAGTTCCAATTAGAACAAAAGTTCCAACCGGGCACGGAGATTTAATTATTTATAAACAAATAAATGTTTTATAATTAATGTTATTTAAATATTTAAAAAGTGTAATTATTAACTGTTCTTTTTAACAGTGATAATTTATGTTGTGTTAGATTTTATCGATATGTATTGATAAGTATATGTTATTCGTCTTAAAAATATATACAGAAGGAAAAAATGTAAAAAAAAAAATTTTTTTTTATTGTTTAAATATTTTTTTTCTAATTCTACGCACAAAGAGGCATATTTTTTTCCTTAACAATTTTTTTCAAAAATTAATTATTCTCAAGTTACCAACAATTGAAAATATCTTTATTATTATTGAAGATACAAAACTTTTTGTAATGCCCTTTCATGGCGTAGGGTGGGCAAATCCTTTTGAGCGGCACTGTATAATAAATTAGAAAAATTTTCTTAAGAGGGTTTAGAAGAATGAAAAGAGTTCACGGAAAAAATTTGGGGACTACAGAAGTACTCAGTGCCACTTAGCGCTTATCCTTCTATCCTTGGACAAGCGATATCCCAAATGAGGAGCTCTGGTGTCCCCAGAAGTAAAGTAGACACACCACAGAGGACACCAGAGCTCCAAACTTAGAACTTCAGCTGAACAAAAACAGCAGTAAAAAATCTGTACAAGATTTTGCGCTTCTGGAGTCCGTAAATTTTTTCCGTATTTTTAAAAGTAAACAGAGGTTTAAAAGAGGGTTTCAAATTTTTAATAAAAATTTTATAGAGGTTCAAAAGAGAGTGAATAAGAGTTAAGGGATGAGGGTTTTCTGAAGTAAGCAGATTTAAAGGAGGTTCGATTTACTATTTAGCAGGCTTAAAAGAGGGCCTAAATTTCCACTCGGGTTAACGCAAGGTTAACAATAGCCCAATCATCAATAATATTCTGTTGGATCTAGCCAATCCCTACATCGAAAGTGGCTCGTACCAACCAAGCAACTAAAAACTGATAATGGTGCTAAATTTTAAAATTATTTAACTGAAATACGCATTTGTTTACGAAAAACAATTATTTTATCTATTGTCTTTGTCCGTAAATATTATTTTTTTAATAAGATAATTCATACCTTAACTTTGAATTCAAAATGGTAGGTACGCATAATGATAGAATTCATTTGAAATCTTTTGACTAAAAGTCAAAATGAGTGACAAGGGTATTGTATTTATTGCTTATCAAAATGAGCCTTTTACGCAAGTCATTTTAAGCCAAGGGTTTTTGCTGTGTTTTTTACAGGTAATATCACATTTCGCAAATACAACTTTACTCTGCCTACTACCACTTAATTATGAGCAAATAGTTTCCTTGACATCTGTTGGCAAGCTACGAAAAACATTGGCGAGAAATTCAGATTAAATAACACATAACTACCCAAATTGATACAAGATTCAAATGTCCCACCCATAGGAAGCTTGCCACATAAGCTTGCATAAATATTTTGGTAAAAATTCCGCAAGCTTACGTGTCATGCTTGTATGTCTTGATTGTGCGCAATCAGGATAAGGAAATAAAAGATCTTCCACCATCAGTCTAATATAATTAACATCAAGAACTAGAAATTCGATCAAAAATTTCTACAATTCGCAGTCTTGGGCCAACATCGGCCAGATCTTGAAAAACTATTCTCTTGAATAAAAGAAGTAACAATTTTAGTTATGTCTTTCTAAAATTTCCGTACAATTCAAAATTGTTCGCAACGTTAGAAAAAAGGAGAAAAATAAAAGTTCAGAAGAGAGAAAAAGAGGGTCGAGTGCGAGTATATTTACAGAGGTGCAATTTTCTCTGAAAGTATGGTTGTCCGCCGCATGACCTTATCTCATTGTAACTCGCGTCTTTTTCCAACCGTCATATATGTATTGCTTCTCCTTCCCCTTCGCTCTCTCCTATGTGTGTAGAATGAGAGAGTTCAGTTGTACGTCTTACAGACTCAGCATCCCCTTCTTATATTGGGAGCGCGCAACGACTCCCAATCGAATCAAGTCAGGGACAATTTTTCTTTCGGTCAAGAGCGGTATGAGGAGAAGGAGAAGAAAGAAGAGAGCACCCTTCTCCCCCTCCCTCTCTCATGCCGTGTTTTTCGAAAAATCTCCGCCGAAAATTTCGCACGCTACACCGGGGGATGCTGCGTCCGGGACCGTACTCTCCTATCGATCTTTCGGCCGACCAACAACCACACGTTAAAACAGTCAACACTGACGCGCGCACACACATACACACCAAGCGGAGAAAGCTCGTATCTAACTTTCGCAACCCCCCATTGAAACCTGGCTCGGAGCTTTCAGTAAGCTCTGAGCTTTCAGCCGGTTCGTATAGTAGCGCTGCATGCTCCAATATTATATACAAAGCGGCATCAAAGAATATCACCTTTCTCTCTCTCTCTCTCACTCTTTCACTATTGAGTTTCTTCTCTTTTTTTAACTCTTAATCGTAATCAAGATTTTTCTTCTTTTTCATCTAATAATACGATAAAAAAATTGTGTCGCTTTATAATATTGCTATTCCATGAATCATAAGCACGAGAGCAATAATAGAAAAGTGTCGCGTACCGTCGGACGTCGGAAAACTTTCCATCCGTGACTTACGTGTTTCGTAAAGCTCGGTTAGGTACTTTAAAAAGAAAACTGGCTTTTAACATCCTCGTGCCTGGCGAGAAAATAACGCGGCTTATATCAGGTATGAAACTTTCTTTTCTCTTCTATATCATTTCATTTTCGCATTTTTATAGCTTTCACATTTTTTTTTCTTTTAACTTTCCACAAAAAGAATTAGACATTTTTTTTACGGGAAAAATTTTTATTTTAGTATGTACACTGAAACTATTCCATTTGAATAAAACAACATTGTTTCTTTAGAAAATAAATAATTCCATTTTTTTCATTTTATAATAACATTGATTTTCAACATTATTCCTTTCATTATGAATTATTTTAATAATTATTACTTTGATTAATTTTCTTTAGATTTGAACGTAGAAATAAATTTTCTTTCTTTCTTTTTTAAATGAAAACTATTATATCATAATTATTGCAGTAATTACTGCAATAAAAAATATTTATTAATAATATTAATAAATATTTTATTAATATACTTATGATAATTATTATTATATAGGTGACAAAGAATCATTTTTTCCGAGTAATTCAGCAAAATATTATAATAATTACTATACTATAAAAAATATTTTATTAATTTATTATAAATAACTAATAAAAAATTTCTTTGATTCAAATGACCGATTACTTGTTTAGTATCAAATAAATATTTACTTAAATCAAATAATTTTTATATTTAAATTAAATAATTTGTATTTGAACCAATAATTTTAATGTTTGAAGCAAATATGAATTGAACCATTTAATTGATTTAGATAATATTTTATTCAAGTACATATTTATTTGATAATAAACAAGTAAAACGAAAATAAGTAAAATTGGTTATTCGAATGAGATAAATTTCTTTTTTAGTGCATAACAATAATTTGCCAGGGATTAAAAACATTTTAAGGTCTTTAATTTTTCCTGTTTATTGTAGTCCCAGTAATTATTGAAAATATTTATATTACCAAAATTTTATTACTTTAAACATTTAAAAATTGTAAATAATTTTGAATAATTTTTATGCAAATACAAATAATTATTTTCAATTATAATTCAAATAATAATAATTACTTACTATAATTTATTATTCAAGTTTAACTGATTATTATTTGAAGTTAGAAGGGAGGCAATATTATTTCTTATAATTATTATTTTAAAACACTTAAATATTTATCGTTTTAAAAGAAAAAATTATTAGGTTCAAGTAAATATTTTTTTACTTTGATAACAACAAAATAAATTTTTTTCAACACATAACTGTGCATTATTGCTACTATTGGTAAAAATTATTACATTTATAATCAGAATTAAAAAATTGAAATAAGAAAAATAATGAAATTTATAGTAATCATTAAATTGAATATAGTCAATTAATAAATTTTAATATTTTGTTATTAAAAAATAAAATAACATTTTTTTGAAAAAATAAATAAATTCTTAAAATTTACTCCTTTTTAAAAAATATTGCATTCTAAATATGAGAATAAAATGCAGACAATTTTCTTATTATCAAAACATAATTAAAGACATATTATGTAACATAATTATAAAAAAATTTAACATTTAAAATATTAAACTATATTGTACATAATTCTATTGTATCTTATATTTTTAATTAAATATAGAAAACATTAAAACTATAACAATAACAGTATTATTTAATAATAAAACAAAAAAGAAATTTATTTTCTTCTAAATTATTGAAAAAAATGAAATATTTAGAAAATTCACAATTTTTGTAGCAAAATAAAAAAAACTACTTTTGACGCTGACCTAATTATTTTCCAAATATAATGACAGTAATTATTTTGAGACAACTTTAAAAAATCTTAAAAATATTAAAGAAAGAAAAAAAGAATGAAATGTTACTTTAAAACAAACTGGAATATACCTATTTATCATTTTTCTTTTTCTAAAAAATTTCTATATAAAAACTGCAAAATAATTGTTTAACTTTTGTTTTATAACGTGCCAAAGTCACGCCGTAATAAAAGGTTCAAAATTTCTTGAAATTGTGCCAATTTTCTAGTTTTGCCCCAGTAAATTCTTTTTGTTTGTTCCATTTTTTTCATGTACACGTAAATATGTATAAATTATTTATTATTTGTTTACATGCACTGAAAGACATGATTTCGGTATGTTAGAAATTTGGTTATGTTTATGAATTTCTGTCAAGTTTTGAGAAACCAAATGTTGGCTTCACCTCAATAGTTAGGTTAAATGAGAAATTTAAAAATGAGGAACACTTAACCTATAATTTGTAATAAGTTTCCGTAATTCAAATATCTGTATATCAGAATCAAACGCACCTTTTTTGTGAGCGAACGAAACTAATGTCAAATCTGGTTAAGAGGTTAGTGCGCTTTAGAAATTTTCGTCTAGTTCTAATGGTATGGTTGAAATACCCTAACTGTTGGGCTGTTTCTATTCCAGCAATACTATATGGGCAATATAACCTACATTATGCCTGTACCTTCTATTTTCTTCTTTCAGTGTGTAGACAAATAGAAATGTAAATTTTAGAATATTTATATATTTATATCTCTCTATAAATAAATATATGTGTATATTTATTTATTTATTTATTACACGAATTGTTTGAAATAAACATTTCATATTTTTCCCCTGCATATTATTATTTCACATTTCTCCCCTTTTCTATGCTGTTTTCCTCCGACTTTATTCATAGAAATTGATCAATATTAACAAGCCGGAAAATTTACTTTGATAAGTTCATTGACATTATATATGTAGTGTTTATAAGTTTTAGAAATATTATTTTTCAAAACTGTTATTTATAACTTTATACATATTTTACTTTCTTAAAGAATTATTGTTAAAAATAATGTTCTTAAAGTTTGGAACGTTCAATAGATTGAAATTTATTTTTTTTTCAACTTTAAATCTCATTACACAATCAGGAAAAATTTTTTTTTAATGAAAATAATTAAATATTTAAATATTTAATTTAAAATTAAATAATTAAATATCTAAATATTATTATCAAATAAATATTGATTTTTATCAAACAATTTTTAACTACATCAGTTAAACAGTATTTGTTTTAATTCAGAAATTATTGAAGCAAATATAGTTTTTTTCTAAATATTTTTGTTATAACTATTTGTTTGAAATAAATATTTATTTAAAGTCTAGTAATCATTATTTGATTCAAATGAAATTTTTTTTTTGCAATAATATTGCGACACTTATAAAAATAAAGGATTTATATAGTTTTTAAATGCTAAAATTAAGTTTTTCCGTTTTTATCTCAATCAATAATTTTTTAAAATATTTTTAATGAAAAATATTTCTTATAGGTATTTGAACGTTCAAATTTTATGAATTATTAAAAATAACTAATTCGATTCATTGATTTAGAAAAAGTCAATATCACTGATTCAAATATTAATATTTAATATATTTCTACTAAAAATTTAGTTAAAATTCTTTTACTAACTTTAGTAAAATGTTTTACTAAAAGAGTACTAATTACTGAAACAAAATATCATAGGAAATTTTACAAATAATTGAATATATTTTCAACTAATTTTGATTCAGAGTTTTTAAATTGTCAACTAAAAGAAAACTACAAACTTTTTTGAAAATAATCTTAAAAATTAAACAGAATTGTAATTATAGGAAAATCAATGTTTTGTGAAATTATAAATATACTGTGATGTAAATAAATAAATTCAAAAAATAGTTGTCATAATAATAGTAATAATAATAAATATAATAATAATAATATTAATAATAATAATAATAAATTATTATAATATATGGTATTTCGAATGGTACTATTTGCTTTTCTTGATACAGTTTATTTCCCTCAAGCATATAAAAGGTTCAATCTCCAGCGGTGAGAAGTAAAATGTCTGACTCAAAAGGATTGTTCTACTGAAGGTTATTTGTCCGACACACAACTTGCGATTACTACTTAGTTGAGTTATTGACAAACAATAGAGACAAATAAGGGGAGAGATTTTTCAAAAAGAAAAGAAATTAATTTACTCCTTTCTCTCTCTCCCTATCTTTATCCTGTGTACATTATATTTTTGTAATTAATAAAATTATAATTTATTTTCAATTTATTTTTTAAAAATCAATTTTTTAAATTTTTGTTTTTGCGGTAAAAATTAAAACAAGGAAGTAGTTACTTAAAAAGGAAAAATTACTTTTAAAATTTAAAAAAGTATTTAGGTATTTAAATCTAAGGAAAAATTATTTTTAAAGTTTTAAAATTATTGGTTAATTTAAATTATAATTAAAAACCATTAATTATCATTAAAATTTGCAATAAAATTTTTTTATTTATTGATAGTTTTTTAAATTGTGTTAAAATAATTAAAATTCTTAGTAACTAAATGAATTACATATAAGTCGAATTTGACTATTTCTTGAAAGACAAAATTTTACTACTGTCTAATAATTAATTATTTTTATATAGTTCAAATTTAGAAATTTTTTTAATACTATTATTTAGTTATTACTATCATTATTATTTATTAGATTGAAATAAATTAAATAAATCACTTATTTATATCGAGTGGAAAAATAAAATAACCTGTGATTTAATTGGATTAGAAAATCAAGTTGAGTAATCAATATAATTGATCGGACATGCAAAATATTTACATAATACACACTTAATATTTTAAGGAAAGAAATGAATATTGTCAAACAAATCACATCGTACCCAATAAAGCGTAATTCACAGTGAAAAAGTCAAAGACTGGTCAGACAATAATCATACACTCGGCGTTCATTCAGTAGAATAATCAACAATTAGTCAAAAAAAATTTATAAATTTATCAGAGTTCGAAAATAAAATCAATCAATCAGTAAAAATGAAAATATTATTTGCTTCCTGTTAAAATCGTCTTTTATTATAAAATTATTATAGTAGAATAAAAATAATTTTTAAAGTAGAACAAGCAAATTAATTAATAAGAAAAATATAAAGGGAGAAAAAAAGAAAAGTAATTGTACAAAAATTACACATTTTTTAAATAAACGTATGATTCATTTTATCAAATAGAGAAATCTATGAGTGGTGCGACAAATCATATCGGC